CTATGACAAACACAGGCACTCCAGTCAGCCACGAACAGACAGAAACAGACACATAACAGCCTTCTGATGATCAATTCCTTGTCTATTGCAGGGATCCTGCCTTGGATGATTAAATTGGGAGTGGGAGATGTCTGGCTGCTGTAGCAGTATAATGCTTTTAACCATCCCAAGCTGTGACTATTAGCTTCAATGCTCTCAGGTCTCAGGAGAGCTTGAGATGACACCCTCTTCAAAGCCAGGAAGTTGTATTGTAACTTTAGACAAGTTGCTTCCTTTCTATGAATCTTCGCTTCCTTATCTATCTAATGAAAGGGTTAGACCAGAATCAGGGGTGGGGAACCTGAGGCCTCAAGGCCCTCTAGGTCCTCAAGTGTGGTCCTTAGTTTGCTTAGTTTGGATTCAAAGGGCCACACTTGAGGACCTAGAGGGTCACATGTAGCCTCAAGGCCACAGTCCCCCACCCCTGGACCAGATGATTCCCAAGATCTATCTTCAGCTAGCTCTATATGCAATGAGCATCCCTTTATAGCCAATGCTTCAGGAAGTAGACCAGCACTGTTCATATTAACTAGAGATGACGAATAGGATCAATACAGAAAATTAAGAATTTTATTTAAGAACACCCTCCTCTCCCCAACTCTGCAGCTCCCAACAAACAGGCCTTAAGATATCACATTCATAAAATGTTGAAAGGCATCTGGCATATTACATGGCCTGAAGAGTACCAACAGATGCTCATATTGTCTATAGTGGGTCTGGAATTGTTTTCCATTTATATCTCCCTGAGAAGAACATGATAGCAATTCATCTGAAAAATATCCGAGGGTTTTAATGGACTACAAGCTCGATATGAGTCAACAGAAAAAAAAAAGTTAATGTAATATTAGGCTGCATTAAGAAAGGCAAAGAAGTAGGAAGATGATAGTCCCAGTGTGACCTGCCTTGGTCAAATGCCATTTAGAAGAGCAACATTCAGAAGGGTGCTGATATGCAAGGAGTCAGCATGCTACAGTGGAAAGAACTCTGTGTTTAGATTGAAGACTTAGGTTCAAATTCTACCTTTGATACTTACCGTATGATCAGAGGCAAGTCCCTTAAACTTCGCTGAGACTCAGTTTCCTCCCCTGTAAAATGAGGGGGTTGACTAGAACCTCTGAGGTTCTTTCCAGTTCTGTATCTATGATACTAAAAATACAGATGAAGGGAACCATGAGACAGCTGCTTTGCCTGGTTTCAATTGCACAAAACAAGATGCCCTTCCCAATATAAGCTCATCGTTTCTAAACTCACCACCATGCTGCTAATTCAAGCCTTGACTGATATGTCTCTCAGCCTCCTCTCCCCTCTGATGCAGAGGGCTGGAGGATGGAGTAACAAACTCCTCCCAATACCCTCCTTTAGAGAAGGAAGAAACTGGACCCTCAGTTCACTCCACTCTGCATATGCTGCTCTGCCTGTATTCAGCTCCATGGAACAAGATGCCCTCATGCTAGGTACTCCCAGGTATCCCCATCCTCCTCCCCAAACCCCACTTTCCTGACTCCTTTTATATGTTATCTCTCCCTTTAGATCAGAAGCTTCTTGAGGGCAGGGACTGTCTTTCCTTTTATTAATTGTATCCCCAGCATTTAGCACATTGTCTGGCACATAGTAGGTGCTTAATAAATGTATATTGGATTGGAATGGACAGTTGATGGTACAGAGAGGACAGAGCACTGGGGCTGGAGTCAGGAAGACTTGAGTACCAATCCAGCTTCAGACACCCAGCAGTTGTGTGATCCTGGACAAGTCATTTAACCTCTGATTGCCTCAGTTCCAAATGTATAAAAAAGGGGGTTGATAACAGTACCTACATTACAGGGTTGTTGTGAGAACCAAATAAGATATCTGTAAAGCACTTAGCAAAGTAACTGGCATGTAGCAGGCACTCTATAAATGCTTATTCTTATCTTTCCCCTACCATTCTCTCTGCTAAAAGGCCTCAATATCATGCCATAGGAGAAGTGGAAGGAATGGGGATGGTCAGCCTAGATGTTAACCCTTTCCCTTAGGGGCAACATGATAGCAGTCTTCAAGGATCTTAAGGTAAGAGGAATTAGATTTGCTCTGTTCAGCCTCAGAGGGCAGAACTAGGAGCAATAAGAGGTGGAAGTTGCAGAGGCAGGCAAGCTTCATGTAAGAAAAACCCTCTCAACACTGAGAGTCACCCAAAAGTGGAATTGGCAACATCTACACTTCTCAATAGTGAGAACCAACCAAAACTGGAATGGGCAGCCATCTACATTTCTCAACAGTGAAGATCTCCCAAAAAGGGAATGGACTGCCATCTACAATTCTCAACAATGAGAGTCACCCAAAAGTAGAATGAGTTGCCATCCACACTTCTCAAAGGTGAGGAGCTCCCAAAAGGAGAACGGACTGCTATCCATACTTCTCAATGATGAGGATTTCTCAAAAGTGGAATGGGCTGCCATCCACACTTCTCAACAATGAGGACTTCCCAAAAGTGGAATGGGTACCATCCACCCTTCTCCATAGTGAATACTTTCCAAGAGTGAAATGGTCACACTACATCCTTAGTGGGAGATGGATTTCCTCTCCAGAGCGAAGTAGAGTTTCACACAACAACTTGTATTTGGGTTGGAGTAGATGGACAATGATTCCACCTTCCAGTTCTTGCATTCCATGAATATGGATCAGGTTGTATGTGCCCCTTAAGGTCTAATTTTATGAGTATCACAGAGTGACCCTTTGGTCAATAAGGTTGTGTTCAATGACAGAGGGTTCTAGCCTGTTAGTGATTACATTGAGGGCCCAATAGCTTCAACATCATGAGAGTTTTCCACTATTCTTTACAAATAGTACAAAGATCTAGTGAGTAAAGAAGAAGGTTGGATGAACTCTGACATAAGGTTGTTGGCAAGAAACTCCTGGAAGGCATGGATCTGGGGGTCAGCCAACGAATATATAAGAACTCATCAGAATCAGAGCTTTTGAGACCAAAATCATGATATAGCTCTGTTGTAGGGACAAAACCAGTAGCTACTGTCCAAGGTTGGCTCAGGACCTCTTGACTTGGAAAAACAAGTCTAACCCTTTCCTACCTATATTGACTCCATGAGGATAACCAGGGTCTTGGGATTCAATTACGGCCTGTATCTGAATGACCCTGTGTTAAGTGAGCTTCATTCTACTTGAGTGGCAGAACAGGTAGCCAGAAGGGTCACCTCTGAAAGGAGAGCCTTCATAAGGGGAAATTCTGACAACGATCACTTCCCCCATCCCTTTGGCCTCATGGCCCACGTGGTGCACTAACTCACCCAGTATTTCTAGCTGCCCACATTATAAGTACAGCTACCCCACCAATCACCTTCCTCATAGTGAAGGGGTCAGTCAATGCAAAGCCCCATCTACACACCTAAGAAGAGAATATCTTTTAGTTTAGATGCAGGGCTCAAAAGCCCCCTCTAGTGGAAAAAGAGATCCCAGGAGCCAAAGACTCTGCTGGACCAAGGGTGTCATGCCCATATTAAACTGGGCAAATTCAACCTGCTTGAATAGGTTTACTAGTTCTTTTCTGACTGGTTCCATTAAGAGCTCCATTCTAATAGATCTTGGTTTACCACCCACACTAGTAGATTCCACAAGCTTGTTGAAGTTATCAGAGATCTACCAATTTGCAATCTCGGGTCATAACGGATCCTCAAAGGTCTTGCTGCTCCATCAAAAAGTTCTCAAACTTCTCCAGTCAGGGGAGTCCCTCCATCACGCAAACCAGAACCTAACTTTCCTCAGACCATGAGACCAACATTCACTTGGTTGATGGGAAAGTGCTTTGTAGAACTTCCAGTACTACTTCATATGAGGGCACCCAAAGGACATAGCCAGGTTGGTCCAGCTGCTATGACATTGGATAAGTCTTTTTTCTCCAAAGGAAGAAAAGGGAAACACCGCCTCCCCCCACCCAAGCTGATGTTTTAAAGCTGCTCTTCCTCTAGCTGTACCTCTACTCCACCTCACCTTAAAGAACAGATGAGCTATATACTGATTATCATTATTAAGAATGACAATGACAAAGCACTTTCTCACAATGATCCTTTGGATTAGAGGACTAAGAGGACAAGAATTACTATTTCTGTTTTGTAGCTGAGGAAACTAAGGTTTAGAGAGCATACATGTCACTCAGGGTCACAAAGTTAATGTCTTAGAATCCAGATCCTATGACTTCAAGATCAGTGCTCTCTGGGAAGTTAAGCTCATAAGTAAATCTTAGAGGATTTAAAGAAGGAAGAGATTTTAGGTATTAACTTGAGGTCAGAAGGGTTAAGTGATTTGCCCAAGGCACACAGTTAGTAAGGAAGAGCCAGGATTCAATCCTGAGATCTCTGACTCCAAAGTTATTCCTCTTCCAAGAGGCAGACTCCAAGACCACCTCTTCAATCTATCCAGAATCCTACTATGCTCAGATTCATTAGCATTACTTTCATTATGTCTCTCTATCCAAAATTCTTTAACAGCCAACTGCCTGCTATACCATTTTGCCTGAATGTGCCTGAGTCTGGGTTTCAAATACCTCTTACAATCCGACCATACCTTCTCTATATAAACTTTCTCATTTCTTCCCAATGTAACTTCATTGGCCCTATGAACAAGCCCTACCTACCTTCTATTATTTTCCACACCTGAAACACTTTCCCATTTCTACCTAGCCAAATCTCACCCTTTCTTCAATATCTTAGCAAGTCTTGCCTCCCCCTTGAAGCTTTCTCTGACTATTCTGACTCTCATTGACCTTGGTAAGAAAAGTGAAAGTATGAACTCTTCTGGTATTGTATGCTCTCATCTGATATGTGTTAGTCTTATCTCCCCCACAAGGCTTTAAGTTAGGAGTGGGCAAGGACTATGACTTAGGCATGCTCTCCATGAGCTCTCCCACAGCACCATAAAAATTGCAGAATATATAGTAGGCTCTCAATATAATATTAAGTGAGAAACTCAGAGACAAGAACTGCTTTTTACTGGCTAATAACATGTTGGGGTACAGAGGAAAAAATAAATCTAATATTAAGGGCATGAAGTTTTATAAGTATTGGTTAGAAATCCTAAAACCTATGTTTCCTTTCCTTATTTCACTATCAGCTCCACCCAAGGGAAGGTTTCTTATTTTGTAAATGGACCAATATAAAATATCATCTTGAAAAGGGGTGACAGTGTGCTTTATTTTAAGAAAAGAACAAAAAACATAACTGGAGCTGTGCCATTATGCTCAAAATGATAATACATTTGTCCTAACTAGGGTATTATCTTTCCAACACTCTCTGAAATCTGTTAAGATCTGAGTTTTAGCTAACTGATTTCTTAAAAGTGTTAAGAAAAAAAAGATAGAAATAAGCTCTAAAGGAAATGGCCAGATAAGGGAAGGTTTCTCCTCCCCATACTTAAACCCCAGCAGAAATACAGCACAATTCATCTAAAGAGCACACAGAGCAGCACCAAAACATGCTATTTACAAGAAGAGATTTTTCTTCAACATAACCCACTTGGATGCTTTGGAAAACAGCATCCTATCAAAAAGCAGTTTGCTAAGGAAACTGTCAATGTCTAAGTGCCTAAGGAGTATCTGAAATTGCCAAGGAGTGGGGATGTGCAAACTCAGCAGCAAAAGGTTCTTTTGCTTCATGGAAAAGTGATGGTAGTCAAAGGTGTCAACTCTAAGGTCTGGTCTAATGGGGGCCGCTGTTCCTGGTATTCAGCTGGATGTCCATTCCGATGGTGGCCATATTCAAACTTGATTCTCAGCTCACCAATCTTGGACTGGGGCAAAATATCTGGAATCCATTCAATGATGAAAGGTGTTGGCTCCTTCTGATCTGGAGAGGTGTTGCCTAAAAGGAGAAACAATAATCCGGTGCTGAATTTTCACCTACACATTTTGGTTATAATGAAGTACGAGAAATAGCAAAATATGTGAGACTGTAGGTAAAAATCCTTTCCAGAATGCAAAGAAACTATCTTACCATCTTGTTACTCTTTGATCTTAGGGTTGATTTTTTTTTTCTCACTTTTTGGTGAGGCAATTGGGGTTAAGTGACTTGCCCAGGGTCACACAGCTAGTAAGTGTCAAGTGTCTGAGGCCAGATTTGATTAGGATTAAATTTTAATTAGATAACAACATATCACCAAAGAACATTATAATAGTAGAAGACTTATGACTGTTGGTGACCCAAAGGAAAGAGAAATGGTTGTTGCAGGCTACAGTACATTACCAACAACGATTAATGCGTGAAAAGAGATGTAAAAGACATTATCAAGAACATTTATGATTCAAAGAGGTGGAGCAGTTATGCAGTAGGGGGGAGGGGTAACACATGGACAATCTAAGGACTACGCTAGTAGATCCTCTATGTAGCATTTACAGAAAGATTGTCAGTGATCATCCAGAATAAGAAGGCAGCACATAACCTGCACTAAGGGGATGGAAGGAAGTGGTGGGGATGGGGGTGGGAGAGGGCATCCATGCTAATGAACTCAAAGAGATAAAGAGCGGGAGAGGGGCTAGACCCCATGATTTCACAGGCACAGAAAATTCCCAGAAGCTCTGTTGGGAGCTGCTGCTCCACCATCTCAATCCGAATGCAAATTTGGAGGATCCCAATGTTCCACTCCCATCTCTAGAGAGCTGTGAAGAACATCCTTTAATAAACCTCTTTTGGACATCCTGGGGGGGAAAAAACAGGAAAGAAAAGAAGAGAAAATTCCCAGGAGAGGAAACACTTCTTACCAAAGCAGATCAGTACCTTCTCAGCAACTTGAGAATTATCTAGGGCACTAATAGTTTAAGTTACTTGCCCAGATCACACAGCCAGTATGTTTCAGAAAGAGAACCTGAATCTATGTCTTTCTGACTTCAAGGCTAGCTCTTCTATCCACTACACCAGAGGTGTCAAACATGCGGCCCATGGGCATATGCAGCTCACAACACTCCTGAGCACAGCCCAAACCAGATTAAAAATGTAGTTTTTGATTTTAATGTTTTGATGTACTCATGAAAAAACAAATATATAAACGTGTATGGATTTCTAAATAAAAATGTGGCCTGCAGAAATCCTTAGGTATGGTTTAGAGGCCCTCATTTCTATATGAATTTAACACCACTATACTACACCACGACGTTTCTCGTTAAGAGCATAGATCCATCAAAATATTAAAGCACCACCACATTATTTCAATTTGAAGTGCTTCTATTTAATATAGCAGTCTTAATACCTCACCCTTTGGGAATTAGGTCATCACACTGTTGAAAAATGTGGAGTCTAAATCAGTCTGATACATGACCGTCTTCATTCTTAATTTTTCCTTCATGTTGAATACATTCTCATCTTCACATAAGTCATCAAATTTTAGAGTATAACATTATTTGGCTCCTTCATAGAAGGAATTCTGTAATTAACTTTGACAAGCTAAAAAAAAAATAGTAGTAGTAACCAATGCCTAAAACAGCAATATCCTAAATTGCAACTAGGGCATGTTGTTAGAGCTTATTCTGATAAATTCTGTTAAAAAGCATTCTGTTAAAAAGAATGATATTTACTTAGGGATCATCAGCCTACTGATGATATTTCTTAACTACTTCCAGTGAGAGAATAATTTTCAACAGAACTCTCTTTGAAGTCTTTAGAGCAAGATGACAACTGCAAAGAACCTGGAAACTGGAAACTACATAGGACTGAAAGCAGTAAAAGACTTCAAAGATCATTAATTCCAAATCTCTTTATTATAGGTGAGGAAATTGAGACTAAGACAGGTCAATTGACTTGCCTTAGTGCCAGTTAGTATGTAGAAGGGATGATATTTGAATGTAGGTTTTCTGACTCTAAATCCATTGTTCATTCACCTGTCTTTTCCCTAAAGCCTTTCTTTACCTATCTTCCAAATGAAAACGATTTCATTCTCTCTCTCTCTCTCTAATTTCTCATCGTACTGTACCCAAACATCCTGTTCACACATAGCTCACTCTCTCTTGTATTATCAATATTTATGTACTTGTTTCTCCCCTTTTAGAATGTAAGTCCCTTTAAAGGAGTTCCATGTATTATCTATTTCTGTGCCTTACAAAAAGTAGTCACCACATAAATAGGTTTGTTGAATATACATGGATGGTGAATACCTTTATCTAAGGGAAAAGAAATATTTTAGATAAAGATGTGTCTCTGTAGTATGTCTATATGTGGAAACATTATCACAAGTTCATTTGGCTTTGTACCTAGCACAGTGCCTTTCTGGCACACAGTAAATGATCTACAAATATATGAACTGACTCTTGCAAAAGATACGTTCCTCAAAAGTTGTGCTGATGCAACTTTTTCTGTCCTAAATGGTGCTTAAGAATGCAGTAAATAGGGACTTTAGGACAAAATGTTGCCTGAATGGGAGTTAGACCCAGCATTCACACATCTAATCCAGCAAAAATCTTGACATTCATACCAGCCCAAATAATGACCAAAAAAAAAAAAAAGCCAATGTAAAATCACAGTCAGTAACTTCCTCCACCGCAGCACTGCAAAAAAGTCAACCAAAATCCCATGAAACATAGGAAAGGAGAGCACCAGTAAAGCCAAGCAAAGAAGAGACACAGCCCTATGTCCAGAGGCCAAGAAAGTAGACAGCTCCCTAAGAAAGCTTCATCAAGTGAGATAGGCAAGCCCTAGAGTGGAAAGAAAACATCAGGCAGAGGGAAGGGGTTGAAGCTTGGAAGCCCTGGGGAGCAGCAGCAATGAGTGAAGCATGGGAGAGTTCAGACTGGACAGCCCAGATACCTGAAGACTCCAAGGTCTCTAGCACTCTATCTTGAGATGACATAGAGGGCCCTGGGGATCCAACTTTATGAACCTCAAAGATCCAGGGGGACCTCACTTCTGGAATTAAGAGATTGGTACAGGAAACCAAGGGCCCCAGAGTAAAACAAGCAGTGCTGACCACCCCATAAAAAAGTACAGCAGGGGAAAAAACCTAGCTCTGGCACAAAAACTAAGTGAGAAATAAGTAAATAAAAATAAATACAAACCAGCACCAGAAAACAGTATGGCAGAAACTAGATATAGAGCAACACCTTATACTATATTGCAAGATATGATCAAAATGGGTATATAACTAAGACATAACGGGTAATACCACAAACAAATTGGGAGAACAAGGAATAGTTTATCTGTCAGATCTATGAAGAAGGAAAGAATTGATGACCAAATAAGAGACAAAGAATATTATGAGATATAAAATGGATAATTTTGATTATATTATATTAAAAAAGTTTTGCACAAACAAAACCAATGCAACCAAAATGAGAAGGAAAACAGAAAGCTAGGAAACAATTTTTACACCAAGTGTCTCTGATACAGGCCTCATTTCTCGAATACATAGAGAACTAAGTAAAATTTATAAGAATATAAGTTATTTCCCAAATGATAAATGGTCTAAGGATATGAAGAGGCAGTTTTCAGAAGAAGAAATCAAAGTTATCTACAGTCATATGAAAAAATGCTCTAAATCATTATTAATTAGAGAAATGCAAATTAAAACAACACTGAGGTACTACCTCATACCTATCGGATTGGCTAATATGACAGAGGAGAAAAATGAGAAATATTGGAAAGGATGTGGGAATACTGGGATGCTAGGGGGCAGCTATGTGGCACAGTGGATACAGCTCTGGCCTTGGAGTCAGGAGGACTTGAGTTCAAATCTGGCCTCAGATGCTTGACACTTACTAGCTGTGTGACCCTGGGCAAGTCACTGAACCCCAATTGCCTTACTAAAAAAAAAAAAAAAAAACCACAACACACACAAAGAAAATTGGGATACTAATATACTGTTGGTAGAGTTGTGAACTGATCCTACAATCCTGGAGAGCAATTTGAAACTATGCCCAAAAGGCTATAAAACTGTGCATACCCTTTGATCCAACAATACCACTAGTAGGTTTGTATTCCAAAGAGATTTAAAAAAAAAAAAAAAGGAAAAGTTCCTACTTGTACAAAAATATTTATAGCAGCTCTTTCTGTGGTGGCAAAGAATTGGAAATTGAGGGGGTGCCCACATCAATTGGCAAATGGCTGAACAAGTTGTGGCATATAATTATAATAGAATATTTTTGTACTATAAGAAATGATGAGCAGGATGATTTCAAAAAAACCTAGAAAGATTTATATGAACTGATGCAAAGTAAAGTGAGTAGAACCAGGAGAACATTGTGTACAGTAACAACAATATTGTGAGATGATCAACTATGAATGACTCAGCTACTCTGTTCAAGACAACGATCTAAGACAATTCCAAAGGACTCATGATAAAAATCCTATCTACCTCCAGAGAAAGAACTGATGGAGTCTGAATGCAGACTGAAGTATACTATTTTTCACTTTATTTTTTGTGGTGCTGTTTGGGTCTGTGTTTTCTTTCACAACACGACTAATAAGGAAATGTTTTGCATGACTGCACATATATAACCTATATCAAACTGCTTACCACCTTAGGGAGGGAGGTGAAAGGGGAAGGAAGAAGAGAATTTGCAACTCAAAATTTTTAAAAATGAAGGTTAAAAATTGTCTCTATATGTAATTGGGGGAAAAAATTTAGAAAAAAATACCAATCAGGATCAAAAGTTATTGCAGATCTAGAGGTCTCTCAAAAGGAGTGAATAACTCTATAACAACGACAAGCAGACTCAAAGGAAAAATGTATTTTCCACAAGAGCTACATGAATATCTTAAAGAAATGATGTGAGATTTTTTTTTTTTACATGAAAGCACTAGCAGGAAGAATTGGAAAGCAAATAAATTGCTTAGAAGAAAAAATGGTAAACCTTACCCAAATAATGGACTCCTTGAAA